GTAATGTTTTGTATTTCTGTTGTCAGCATGTGTGTGCGTAGGTAATTTTCTTTATTTCTGTTGTCAGCATGTGTGTGTGTAGGTAATTTTCTTTATTTCTGTTGTCAGTATGCATGTGTGCGTGTTGTTATTTTTTTTATTTCTGTTGTCATTATGTGTGTGTGTTGGTAAGTTTTTTATCTATGTTGTCAATATGTATGTGTTTTGTGAATTGTTTGTTCGGTCCCCCATATGAGGTTTCCTATTTATAGTTTTTATTCAGTGAATGTATGTAATTACGTCTGCTTATTTATTTTTGAGGCAGCTGGTTACATAATTGTTTTATGCCTTAATGAAGTTACTTGTGTGGAGTTTCCTTCTATGTATTATCCTGTAATTTCTGTTCATATTGGTTCTTACTGATGAAACCTGTTCTTCGCAACTCCTGTTTCGTTTAACTGACACATTTTAAATTTTCTTTTTTTTTTAATTTTTGATATGAAAGACTTTTGCTCTGTTCAATACATAAGCTTTATTTTTTAATTAGTGTTGTAATTTTTTTTTTCAATTTAGGACACGTGCTTCTAGTAAATCTTTGTTTTCACGAAAGTAAATCTGAAACTAAATCAATTTCCCAGGGCTAGTCTACTATATTATGTCAGGCCGAACAATCAACTCTGCAGTTGTTTACATCACCAGTTAATCTAACAGATGGTCTTTTACCCACCAACTTTGCAGGGTAGAGTGTACTTTAGTTGACTTCCTACCGCTGACCTCCGGTGTTGATGCTTGCCAATTCAATGTCTGACAGACTCTCATTTTGCTTCATATTGTATTTCATAAGACACCTGCAGTAACTTTAGTTTGAACTGTGAATTCATTTCTACAACATTTTATTACGACGTGTGAGTAATCTGTTTATATATTATCATGTCTGGTAGGTTTATAACTGTTGAGAACTTGCATCTGTCCTTTAGCAACATGTGGGGGTATGTCGTGGACTCTGACTCATTCCTTGAAGAGCTACATCTGAGCTTTTCAACTGAAACTATAAAGAAACATCTTAGAAAACCGTGCACCAAGAAGAAGAAGAAACACGTCGACATCCCACATGACCGGAACATCAAGGAGAACTGGCTCGTAAACAGCATCCTCTCTCAGAACTGAGGTATTCTGGTCCTGTCAAGCGCTACAGTGGAGATCTGGAGACAATGGGGACGGGGGCTGCAATTTCCCAAAAGAGACAGTGGCCGACCTACGCGAAGAGAGACTTTTGGGCCTGCCGCGAAGAAAGCGACGTTCTCTAAAGGACTTGCTAACTAATGATAATGATTAGGTTTATACCGAACGAACAAACTTCATTTTCAAAAGGTCTCAAACTAAGCACGGAGGTCCGTCTTAAAATCATCCGTTCCGCTCAGAAACACACACACACACACACACACACACACACCACACACACACACACACACACACACACACACATACATCTTTCAGACAGCAGTTTGCAGTTCATTCATAAAGCATGTTATGTTCATAAAGCAGTATGAAAAAAATGAATACCAAGTTAACAGAAAGAAAAAAAACACACACACACACACTAAACTACGGACGGTAAAGCATACATTCAAATATACGTAAATAAAACATGAGGTACCTACTTGACTTCCCTACCATGAACTACAAGATCAAGATCTGGAGGGCTCGTGCATACCTCAAGATAAGCTCAGATCTGAAGCACCATTTGCTCCACTTGCTCTTCAAAAAAAAGGGCAATAGACCTAAAAGGGGCAAATCATGACTGGGTAGGGCAGAGTATGAAATCATGCAAGTTTCCAGTCTTACCAATATCTATCCAGGTAAGGATAAGCCTCTAAAGCGCCCAATCTCACATTCTCCGGTGTCGTGACGCTCGATAGTTGTCGGGAGCAGATTCCAGCTGCTGTCAATGCCGAGGTATATCACAGAACATCAAGTTAAATTTAGGAATTCTTAGATCGGATAAAGAAATTAGGGAACGGTACAATATCATTGTACAAAACCGGTATAATGCAATTTAAATTATACAGATGATTGATGAACAGTGGGATATGTTGGGTGAGTCAATTCAGCAGACATCTAAAGAGACAATCCAACCAACCCATAGAGATGCACACACACAAAAAAAAAAAAAAAAAAATTAATGCCGACCGAATTTCTGCAGTTGATGGAAAAAAAGAAGGAAGAAAAGGAATGATAAAAAAGAATACTCTAGAATACAAAAAAAAAAAAAAAAAAAAAAAAAAAAAAAAAAATAATGAACAAATGCAAAGTGGCTAAAGAAACTTGACTGAATCAAATACGTACAGAGATTGGGCAAAATTACAGGAAAGACACACATTCCATGTACCAACAGTTACACTTGTGAACAGGAAAGATGACACGTAACAGCACTGGATGTTTAAAATCAAAAGATGGTGACTTATTAATGGGACAAATAATATAATTAACAGATGGGCAGAGTATATATGGCAATTGTATGATAATAATAGACCAGACGTAGAACTGCAGACCCACAATGATGGTCCAAAAATAATGACTGCAGAAGTTGAGGATGCAATGCATTATATGAAGAAAGGAAAAGCACCCGGGCCAGACATCATCTCACTGGAAGAAGTTGAAGCACTGGGAAATTTTGGAATTGAAAAATTAACGTTTAAATGTTATTTGCAATAGTTTGTATTTTGAAAATGACCTTTTAAAATCCATTTTTATAGCTCTGCCAAAGAAACCATGCACTTTAAAATGTGAAGACCGTCGCACAAAAAGTCTTATGAGTCACACGCCAAACATTTTACTGATAATAATTATGAGAAGAATAGGAAACAAAATTAAACCAGAAATCAGCGATGAACAATGTGGATTTGTAGAAGGAAAAGGAACAAGCAATGCCATATACATCCTAAGGACATTGTCAGAAAGAGCTATAGAAGTAAAGACTGATTGGTACTTGTGCTTCACAGACTAAAAAAAAAGCCTTTGACTGTGCGAAACATAAGGAAGTAATCAAACTTAGAAAAATTAAACATTGACGGGAAAGATCCACGAATAATAAAGAATATGTATTGGCAGCAAACAGCTATAAGCAATAACAACTATTTAGGTATATTTCGGAGCATAAGTATGGCGAGGATGTGGGGATCTTGCCTCTCCATAATCTGCGATCTCCTGCAGCATGTATCAGTTCGTGTGCCGACACACTTCCATGCTATGCAACAAGACTGTCAAGCATCTTCTCTCGTTGTCTTCCTCTATCCCTCTTTCCACAAATCTTTCCAGTGGTTACAACATGTTCTATTTCCCCCCTTCTCATAACATGGCCGAAAAATGTTGACTGTCTGCTCTGATGTCTGTGATAAGTTGTCTTCGGGCTCCCGCCTCTTTCAAAACTTCTTGGTTGCTCTTTTTGGCTGTCCAATGTATTCTACGCATTCTTCTGTAAAACCACATCTCCGAGGCCTCAAGAAATTGTTTGGCCTGCCTACAGATTGTCCAGGATTCACAGCTATATGTTAAAACTGGATGTATGTAGTATATTGCACAAGTATCAGATGTAATACAACAAATACAAACATCAACTCAACAGACATTCAGATAAATTATAACAAAAAGAAACATTGATTCAACAACAGACAGTCAGATAAAATGTAAAAAAAAAAAAAAAAACGGACTCAACAGATAATTACACAATCATTAAGAAAAAGTGACAATTAATTTTCAACGTGCACGTTTATTCTAGTGCCTTCTGTCAGCAAATGTTCAAGTTTACACGAATCACAAACTAGACTAATTCCATGTTATGATGTCACGTTTTGGAATTCTTCATTCTTGACAGAGGTGTGGAGAACTGTAGGACTGTTTGTAACTGTACAAACTGACATTGTCTGACTTTTAAATAGACAGAGATGTCGAGAACTGTAGGACTGTTTGTAACTGAACAAACTGACATTGTCTGACTTTAAAATAGACAGAGATGTCGAGAACTGTAGGAATGTTTGTAACTGAACAAACTGACATTGTCTGACTTTAAAATAGACAGAGATGTCGAGAACTGTAGGAATGTTTGTAACTGAACAAACTGACATTGTCTGACTTTGAAATAGACAGAGATGTCGAGAACTGTAGGACTGTTTGTAACTGAACAAACTGACATTGTCTGACTTTTAAATACACAGAGATGTCAAGAACTGTAGGACTGTTTATTATTGAACAAACTGACATTGTCTGACATGTAAATAGACAGCTTGCTATGGACACTGATGGAAGATAGAAGACAGAGACAGAAACACGACTGGTGTTTATAAATGTTTTTCACGAATAAACTCTGGGAAAGTATGTCAGACAAATGTAGAACTTTGCGTACACGATTTATGTGGGGTATGTTAGGAAGTTTATACATGTGTGTGAGTATCTGTGATTCTGTGGGGTACGTTGAGCAAGTGTATACATGTGTGTGATTATGTGCGATTGTGTGAGGTACGTTGAGGAAGTTTATATATGTGTGTGAGTATGTAGGATTGTGTGGATACGTTGAGGAAGTTTATACATGTGTGTGAGTCTGTATGATTGTGTGGGGTACGTTGAGGAAGTTTATAAATGTGTGTGAGTATGTAGGATTGTGTGGGGGTTCGTTGAGGAAGTTTATATATGTGTGTGCGTATGTAGGATTGTGTGGGGTACGATGAGGAAGTTTATATCTGTGTGTGAGTGTGTATGATTGTGTGGGGTACGTTGAGGAAGTTTATACATGTGTGTGAGTATGAAGGATTGTGTGGGGTACGTTGAGGAAGTTTATACATGTGTGTGAGTATGTAAGATTGTGTGGGGTACGTTAAGGAAGCTTATACATGTGTGTGAGTATGTGTGATTGTGTGGGGGTACGTTGAGCAAGTTTATACATGTGTGTGAGTGTGTAGGATTGTGTCGGGTACGTTAAGGAAGTTTATACATGTGTGTGAGTAAGCCGAACTGTGTGGAGCTACTTATGCCACGTTGCTGGTCCAGCGGACGACAACATTATAAATCTTCGAGTCCCACCAGGTGCCACAGACAATCTTGAAGCCGGTGGTCGTGAGGTCTTTGACACTGATAAAGTACCTGAGATTCTTTGTTTGTTCCACGTCCAGCCTGATCACGGAGTAGTCCACCTGTGGGGCCTTAGGGTAGGCAGTTGAGAAGCGAACTTCTTTGACTGTTTCTCTTTCTTTCATTAACGCTCCCCACGAGTCCGAATTGTGACAAGTCACAGAGCCCTGTTCGTAATGGGGCGGGATAATATTGGCGACGTTCGTGTTCAAACTCTGAACGGATCTCTTTAAAGTGTCAATTTCACTTTGGCATTGAGACTTGCTAGATTTTAAATCATTAACAGTATTTTTCAAAGTGTCAATTTCATTTTGGCATTCAGACTTGCTAGTTTTCAAGTCATTAACAGTATTCTTCAAAGTGTCAATTTCATCTTTAAATTGGGCAATTAGTTTGGCCAGGTCATCAACACTTTGCCCAGTGCTGTCAACTTGGATGTTAGACTTGAACTTGATGTTGGTTCCGTCTTTCTCTACTGCCACGATTTCACAGTTGTAACCGCCAGCCTGTAGATGACCAGGAGATGACCAGGTGGCCTGTAGGAAGCCATAACTATCAGGGACTTCCCCTGTCACCGTGGCGCCCAGTGCCCAAGATCCGACTACCGGTGATTCCCCGTAGGCAATCCTGGCCACATCTCTCTGGATTGGGCCTTCCACTAGACAATAGAAAATTCAATTTTTGGTATTATACGTGACGTTTAATCAGCCACTAATAGAGTTACACAAGCAAGTATATCCATACGTTGTCCCTAAAGACCAAATTTATCTAAGAGCAGATTCCTAGCTGAAATATGCTCCATGATGACGAATTATACTAGGTTCTATGATGACTCATTCATCTCTTTGATGACCCATCCTGTTCTCTGATAACTAAGACGAATTGAAATTCCAAGATGGGAGATGGAACAACAGAAGACCACTGATCTTTGGTAGCCACCCCTCCCCTCCCCGTTTTCCTTCCGCCAACAACTGTTTCGGACATTTTAATTTCCTAGACAATCTTCGGGAGTGGGGGGGGGGGGGGGGGGGGGGCGACCCTAGTTATGACTCCTGGGCCTCGGACTTCTTCTGCTGCAGTGATTGACAAAACAAGACATGGTTTTAGCAACTTGTACGGAGGTTATAGCGATCACCACTTGTATAATGTGCAAACTAACCGGCTACATAGAGTGGCCAACAGACGGCTGGTTCGTCGGAGAGACTTTGATCCCAGAGTCTTGGGCAGGAGTTCCTTAGCCAGACGTTGATCTAAAAATTTGAATTTTAGAGACTTAAAAGTGCTATTCCATCAGGGATTGGGACGGTCTACAGAGGCCTATCCCCCACGTCGTTCCGGTTAGTTCAGAGCCCGCTGGAGGCTGTCTCTGTCGATGCATCCAGTTGCCCGTTTGCGCTCATTTCCCCGACGCCCAATTGCTTCAGGGCATAGTATGAGGAGTTGGCCACTAAACATTTTGCAGCCACCTCGACGACGAAGAGTCTTACTGCGTACGCCTCATTCTTCGTGAGACTGGCTGCCAGACCAATCTACTTCTCGAGCTTGTACGCGTGTTAATCATCGATTCGCTACGCGTACGGCACGATAAAGTCTATCCGTATGAGCTAGCACTCTGCCGCCTAGTTAACACAATGTCTGGTCTCAGTACAGTCTTCCGGATTTGTGGGCGTAATCATAGTTATTTAGGCATATAACTAACTGCCAGCCCTAGTGCACAGAGAAGATCAAGGATATCGAATACACCAAGGATATCACGGATATCAAGGATAATGAGAATATCGAGGATGTCGAGAATGTCGATGATATCAAGGATATATTAAACTATGCAACTTTGTTAAAATTCCCCATTTGATATCTGCCCAACGTTGATAAAGCGCATGCGGGGAAAGGAGAGATGGGTGGATGTTGTGACTGGCTGTTCCTAGTGTGGCCCACAATTATCAATTCTCTCAAGACTTTGTTGTGCCTCCAAGTGAACCACCCCTGACCTAAAGATCTTCTGTACGCTGACATGTCAGGTCGTTGGTCGCGAATCATTTCACCAGTCTACTAAAGGAGAGTAACATAGGCAGATCCAGGAAGAAAGTTTAGTCGCAGTGGAGCCATAACCCAAATATTATTCGATGGGAGCTCTTGTGACATGGCCCTCTCGAGGCCGAGCTAACGGTTTCGCTGTGACCGCTAGGCTGCTTTCTATCGGCGCAGTACATTCTCCAAGTCGCTGATCTACCTTGTCGCCATCTCTCTACCCTCTCTGACCATCAAGAGATATCCCCCTACCCGAAGCCGCGTCGGTCGGTTTGTGTCTACCCCATAATTTCTATAATTTTGGCGAATTCTTGGCACAGTCGAGTGCTTCATTTAGTTTCCACATCCTGCTGTGGGCTGGTTTGCGCTGACTGTTGGTTCTTGCCAGTGTTCACCCTAGAGGTACAGTGGGCGCCACTTTCTACAGGAGCGCCAACAAAGTCTTTCGCGATATCTGTCTTTCCAGCTAGTCTTGTGGACTAGACGGGAATCAGAAGGGAAACATCATGAGGGAGCTTACACAGCAGGATGCCACCAATCTTGCCTAGAGCCCAACCCCCCTCCCCCACCCCCATCACCTTCAACATTTGTTTGGACCCCTTAATCCACTCTACAGTCTCGGTTAAGGGGTAGGGGGAAATCCAGGTCATGACATCCGGCTCGTCTCCTGCTGCGCTGGTCGGAGAAGACGAGACGTTGTTTTAGCAACTGATGCTGTATACAGTCAGCGTCTGTGGCTTAGTTATGCGAGGGTAAGGGGTTCGCTCCCATCTGCAAGCGATTTGACAGCAGACCGTATTGTGTTGGTTAAAACAGTGGAAGAGAGCTGACCATTTAGTGCAATGACAAATTTTACTCAGCATAAGATATGCTTTCAAAAACAACAGAGGCCTAAAAAAATGCTCTGCTTGGTTCAGCAACTCGATAAATTCTACTATCTGATGACTGATTTTTTTCTGACTGTAAAGTCTATTCTCTGATGACTAAATCTATTCTCTGATGACTAAATCTGTTCTCTGATGACTATATCTGTTTTCTGATGACTAAATATGTTCTCTGGTGACTAAATCTGTTCTCTGATGACTAAATATGTTCTCTGGTGACTAAATCTGTTTCTTGATGACTAAATCTATTCTCTGATGACTAAATCTGTTCTCTTGTGACTATATGTGTTCTCTGGTGAATACATCTGTTCTCTGATGACTAAATCTGTTTTCTGGTGACTACATCTGTTCTCTGGTGACTACATCTGTTCTATGATGACTAAATCTGTTTTTCGATGACTATATCCATTATCTGATGACTAAATCTGTTCTCTGATGACTAAATCTATTCTCTGATTACTAAATCAGTTTTCTAATGACTAAATCTATTCTCTGATGACTAAATCTGTTCTCCGATGACTAAATCTGTTCTCTGGTGACTAAATATGTTCTCTAATGACTAAATCTGTTCTCTTAAGACTACATCTATTCTCTGATGACTAAGTCTATTCTCTGATGACTAAATCTGTTCTCTAATGACTAAGTCTATTTTCATATCACTACCTCGGGTGTGTGGTTATATCAACATGGTTATTCTTTTGATTAAAGATCTCAAATTTACCTTTCCTAATGACGATGGTAGACACACGGCTGACAGTTGATCCTTCACTGTTCTGGAGACAAGCAAATATAAGTTAACGTGTACATTATATCTCAGTTAACATGTGCATTGTATCTATGTTATGTATACATTCTATCTGAGTTAACGTGTACATTATATCTCAGTTACGATTACTTTAAATCTCAGTTAACATGTACATTGCATCTATGTTATGTATACATTCTATCTGAGTTAACGTGTACATTATATCTTAGTTAACATGTACATTGTATCTATGTTATGTATACATTCTATCTGAGTTAACGTGTACATTATATCTCAGTTAACATGTACATTGCATCTATGTTATGTATACATTCTATCTGAGTTAACGTGTACATTATATCTCAGTTAACGTGTACATTGTATCTATGTTATGTATACATTCTATCTGAGTTACGTTTACATTAAATCTCAGTTAACGTGTACATTATATCTCAGTTAACGTGTACATTATATCTCAGTTAACGTGTACATTGTATCTATGTTATGTATACATTCTATCTGAGTTAACGTGTACATTATATCTCAGTTAACGTATATGTTATATCTCAGTTAATGTGTACATGACATCCCTGTTAACGTCTACATTCTGCTCCAGTTAGCGTGTACATGCTGTCTCAATTCACGTGTAATTTTATCACAGTTAACGTGCAATCCTATATCAGTTAACATGTATATGTGTACGTGTCAAAGGGCAGTTCAAGCAGTGTTAAAATTGGGTGCTGTTATACTCACACACACAAAATTGTCAACAGTTTATTTGGAACTAACACACACACACATCACACACACACACACACACACACACACATATATATATATATATATATATATATATATATATATAATATATATATATATATATATATATATATATATATATATATATATATATATATATATATATATATATATATATATATATTACATTTATAAAACCACAAGGGTGTTTTGCTTCTCGGCAGCAGTTTGTGCAACCACTGTTAAATATTAAACAACTGTGATACTAGTTGAACAGTTTCGAAGACAAGATTGTACACAGATGACTGCGTTAAGTTTGCTCCTACATTGTAAGGCAGTCAGGACCCAAGCAACAACCTTAGTGTGTTGTCTGCCTGGTGTTCTCTCTAATGATGCAATCAGCTGTACGTTTGGAAAGACATTCAAGTACAATACCTCCAGACTTAATAGATTACCCTGCAGAATCCTATAATCGCTGAAGCCAACAACATAGATTCAACAGGTACTTTCAGTCAACAGAATGAGAAGGTTATAGAAGCATCATGTTAATTGGTCTTCGTCATCATTATTCTATTGTGACATTACATGCCACATAAGGCTCGATTTCTATTCCCCCATTCGGTTCTATTCTTGAACTGGCCTTACAAGACTTGCAACGCGTCCATAGAAACGTGATGTTTTTTGCAGGTGTGAGTTGCTGGTTTTTCTACAGATATCTTGTTTGGTTCTTCTGTTCTTGCAATGGCTACAGCCTCTCTCTCTTACATTTTTGTTTTAATGTTTCGGGTCATGTTTTGTGCCCTCAAGCTGTGTTTATATTACATGGGTCCCTGCAGCTCTTCTTCTATGTTGCTATGGGACTTAAGGAGTTCATTGAACTTATTGAACTCATTAATATACTAATTTGATGTGTATCTTTGATAAACAGCATGGGAAATAGAACACGTCGCTGACGGACTCGGGATTGTCAATAGAAATACTCTTTTTTTCTGACATTCAAGTTCTTCAATCTTGGCTGTTAGAATATTTGCAATCTTCTTCTTCTTCTTCGCGTTCACCAGCTGTAAACTCTGGCGGAAGGTTCTGGTTGCTCGTCCACTACTAAACTGCAGTCCTGGCGGAAGGTTCTGGTTGCTCGTCCACTACTGAACTGCAGTTCTGCTCCAGAAGCTGAGTGTTGCGTGTGCATCTGTTTTACAGATCTCATTCTCTTGAATACAGACTGTTGGTTCCTTGCCTCTCCGACAGATGCACTCCGACTTCAAAGGAAGCTCCCCAATTAGTCGACTCTTACGACATGCGTTTGGGGAGGCAGAGGGTCTATTCTTGTTTTCCCCACAATGGGGACCCGGAACCCACACGGGGGAATATGTGCATTGACATATGTTTACTAATAATTGGGCCGAATCTTCAAGCACACACACACGCATTCATTCACACACAACACCTCTCCTCCCCACGGATACCAAGTACACACACACACACACACACATACACACACAGCACGCACACATGCATATATTGTTAACTAATTTTTCCTACAAATTGAAAAACAATTAAAAAGACACGTAACGAACAAAAATTATTACCTCTAGAGCACAACGGACAGTAAATGTGGGAGTCACTCCGGAGGAGATAGTTGTTGGAGTTGCTGAGATCACAATTCGGGCACCTGCAAACAGGATATTTGTTGTTTTGTATAATGTCAGGTGTACAGGGTTAGAGATACACATGCCACAGTTGTGCGTTGTTGTTGTTGTTGTTGTTGTTGTAGGTGTTGTTGTTGTTGTTGTTGTTGTTGTTGCCTGTTTGACTAGCTGGGCCCTGGAACTCCCCACGTTCGTAAACAACAGGCGCCTCGTCAGAACATTGACAGAAACGTCTAGAAGGTTGTAGACGGACGGATGCGGCTTGCGGGTGATCATGGGCTGGGTTGAAGGAGGTCAGAGGTGGCTCAGCACAAGCTTATCAAAGATAGCTTAAAGCTCAGCAATACACGATGAGAGGAGATTATAGGTAGCATGTAGATGACCAATAAACGGTAAGAAGAGATGAGAGGTAGCTTGACGCTGAACATCAAACGATTAGAGGAGATTTTATGTAGATTGTAGCTTAATATAAACAGTGAGAGGAGATTATAGGTAGCTTGTAGCTGAACATAAACGGTGGAAGTAGATTATAGGTAGCTTCTAGCAGAACAATAACGATGACAGGAGAGTAACGGTAACTTGTAGCTGATCACAAACTTTGAAAGGAGATTAACGGTAACTTGTAGCTGATCACAAACTTTGAAAGGAGATTAAAGGTAACTTGTAGCTGAAAACAAACAGTGAGAGGAGATTATAGGTAGCTTGTAGCTGAACATAAACGGTGAAAATAGATTATAGGTAGCTTGTAGCTAACTCGGCTCTGTGGCGAACGCTTCGTAATGCCGGGATGCCGGGTTCGATCCCAGCTGCGAACCACGCGCCTTGAGTTGGTTTCGACAGTGGTATCAAGAAAGCCAACCATCCAGATAGCAATGGAAAACTACTGGACGTAAATTTGCCTAGAAAAACCACACAACAGCCAGGGGCTGTTAGGGTTGGTTCTGCAAGATCCTGCAAAGGATACGCAACTAACCCAACCTGTACTGAGCAATAAAAGAAGTAAGGAGATTATAGGAAGCTTGTAACTGAACAGAAACGGTGAGAATAGATTATAGGTAACTTGCAGCTGAGCAATAAAAGAAGAAAGTAGATTATAGGTAGCTTGTAGCTGGGAAAAAACCTGACAGAAGATTCTTTGAACTGCAGGAAATCAGGGAGACAGCAGCAGGACCTGAGCAAGTCCCATGTCTGAGAATGTTTGCTCTGGCCAATTTAGCATTCGGTACTATTAACCATATTTCTAAATATTTATGAATACTAAATATTAGCATGATTTTTAAAAACATTGGTTGATGCAGATCTGGGTTATCTTGAAGTATAAAACTTTGGCTGATGCAGATCTGGGTTATCTTGAAGTATAAAACTTTGGCTCATGCAGATCTGGGTTATCTTGAAGTATAAAACTTTGACTGATGCAGATCTGGGTTATCTTGAAGTATAAAACATTGGCTGATGCAGATCTGGGTTATCTTGAAGTATAAAACTTTGGCTGATGCAGATCTGGGTTATCTTGAAGTATAAAACATTGGCTGATGCAGATCTGGGTTATCTTGAAGTATAAAACATTGGCTGAAGCAGATCTGGGTTATCTTGAAGTATAAAACATTGGCTGATGCAGATCTGGGTTATCTTGAAGTATAAAACATTCCCTGATGCAGATCTGGGTTATCTTGAAGTATAAAACATTGGCTGAAGCAGATCTGGGTTATCTTGAAGTATAAAACATTGGCTCATGCAGATCTGGGTTATCTTGAAGTATAAAACTTTGGCTCATGCAGATCTGGGTTATCTTGAAGTATCAGCTGGCCATATCTACCCTTGTCTGTTATGTAATGAGAACTCTTTAGAACAGAAGTTTAGACATTTACTTACCTTGACATAGCGTTGTCATAGAGACAGCTATAATCAATAGAGCACAGAGAACACGACCAATCATTGTCTCTCAGGTTTTTGGCAGAACTCTTCTATTTCTGTGGACAGAAAATATTGTATCAGTTCTGTCAATCTGTGGGTATATATCCTATTGCTTTTATGTCGACACTAAAAATAAAAATGAATGCCCGATTGTCAATAAATGGAAACGAAGTTAAGTGTGCTTATAACAGCTGATGGCTGCCTGAAAATTAAAATGGAAAGAAAAAAGACATCAACACAATTAAAATAAACAGGCATTAAGATGGTTTCGTGGTTGCAGAAATAAAACTCGGTAAAAATATAAGGACTAAGGGAAAAACAGTTGTAGGCATACTACAAGACGAACTTATGAGAATAATTTTGCAGCATGTCCCAGTAGTCTGACAGTAAGAAAGTTTTACATATTTACAGAATGTCCCGGTAGTCTGACAGTAAGAAAGTTTTCCACACTTACAGAATGTCCCAGTAGTCTGACAGTGAGAAAGTTTTACATACTTACAGAATGTCCCGGTAGTCTGACAGTGAGAAAGTTTTACATACTTACAAAATGTCACGGTAGTCTGACAGTGAGAAAGTTTTACATACTTACAGAATGTCCCGGTAGTCTGACAGTGAGAAAGTTTTACATACTTACAGAATGTCCCGGTAGTCTGACACTGAGAAAGTATTACATACTTACAGAATGTCCAGGTAGTCTGACAGTGAGAAAATTTTACATACTTACAGAATGTCCCAGTATTCTGACAGTGAGGAGGTAGTACATACTTACAGAATGTCCCAGTAGTCTGACAGTGAGTAGGTAGTACATACTTACAGAATCTCCCAGTAGCCTGACAGTGAGGAGGTAGTACATACTTACAGAATGTCCCAGTAGTCTGACAGTGAGGAGGTAGTACATACTTACAGAATGTCCCAGTAGTCTGACAGTGAGGAGGTAGTACATACTTACAGAATGTCCCAGTAGTCTGACAGTGAGGAGGTAGTATATACTTACAGAATGTCCCAGTAGTCTGACAGTGAGGAGGTAGTATATACTTACAGAATGTCTTGGTAGTCTGACAGTGAGGAGGTAGTATATACTTACAGAATGTCCCAGTAGTCTGACAGTGAGGAGGTAGTATATACTTACAGAATGTCTTGGTAGTCTGACAGTGAGGAGGTAGTATATACTTACAGAATGTCCCATAGTCTGACAGTGAGGAGGTAGTATATACTTACAGAATGTCCCAGTAGTCTGACAGTGAAAAGGTAGTATATACTTACAGAATGTCCCAGTAGTCTGACTGTGAGGAGGTAGTATATACTTACAGAATGTCTTGGTAGTCTGACAGTGAGGAGATAGTATATACTTACAGAATGTCCCAGTAGTCTGACAGTGAGGAGGTAGTATATACTTACAGAATGTCCCGGTAGTCTGACAGTGAGGAGGTAGTACATACTTACAGAATGTCCAAGTAGTCTGACAGTGAGGAGTTAGTACATTCTTACAGAATGTCCCAATAGTCTGACAGTAAAGAGGTTCGACTTACTTACAGAATGCCCCAAGAGTCTGACATTGAAGAGGTTCGACATACTTACAGAATGTTCCAACAGTCTGACAGTGAAGAAGTTCGACATACTTACATAATGGCCCAATAGTCTGACATTAAAGAGGTTCGACATACTTACAGAATGTCCCAACAGTCTGACAGTGAAGAGGTTCGACATACTTACAGAACGGCCCAATAGTCTGACAGTGAAGAGGTTCGACATACTTAAAGAATGGCCCAATAGTCTGACAGTGAAGAGGTTTGACATACTTACAGAATGTTCCAACAGTCTGACAGTGAAGAGGTTCGACACACTTACAGAATGGCCCAATAGTCTGACAGTGAAGAGGTTCGACATACTTACAGAATGGCCCAATAGTCTGACAGTGAGGAGGTTCGACATACTTACAGAAAGTCCCAATAGTCTGACAGTGAGGAGGTTCGACATACTTACAGAATGGCCTAATAGCCTGACAGGGAAGAGGTTCGACACACTTACAGACTGGCCCAATAGTCTGACAGTGAAGAGGTTCGACATACTTACATAATGTCCCAAGAGTCTGACAGTGAGGGGCTAGTAGTTACTTACTCAATGTCTGTGTAATCAGATAGTGAGGATGTAGCCCAGTAGCTTTCAAAGCTCGAGAGTATCGTGTTAACGATGCGTCCCCATCTTATGTAGGAAATCTTGTCTTTACTAAAGCTCTGTGATTGGTCAGATAGGTTTTGACTGCAGTGATTGTTTCTCATTAGCTGAAATAATGCTTACTCAAGTTATAAACCTGCACATACACATCAGAACAACCAGCACGACTGAGGCAAACTTTAACAATATCAACAGCATCACGAGCCGCGACTTCTGCAGAATGCACATGTCTAGATCTCACAGCAGTTTTCTTGTTTATCTCATCTTTGTCAGTTTCACTGTGCGTATCAGCCTTCTGTCTGTCGGACCACTCCTCTTGTTCTGTGAGTCTTGCCTTCCTGTTCCCATCTCTCTAGGATGATCACAATCTGTTAGTTTCCTACAGCCGTTAGACCTTGTGGCTAGAAAACCGTCATGGCGTACCGCCGGTCAAGCTTTCAAATTCCTGTTGAGGTCTAGTGGAAAGTACAACTGCTATATAAAACAGGCAGAAACGGCATAGTGAAAATGCAGTTATTATGTATCCGGATAAAACAGGAAGAAACAGCAAAGTGTTTTGCTCGGAATTTTGACGGCTAAAATTAATTATTCTAAACCTTGTACACTGTTGTAAAGAAGAATTGTGTCGTCTGTATATCTGTGTCCTGTGATTAGATTAAATCTAATTTTTACGGGATCAAAGCTCCTCCATGCCTCATCGCTTATTGCGTTTCTCATAACATTTTCAGCATACATGTTAAAGAAAGAGGAAAGAAAAAAGCAGCCCTGCCTCACTCTTTTCTGCAATTCAAACCAATAAGATGTTTCACCAGCTACTCTTATCGCTGCTTGGTGTTCATGCTAAAGAGATTTTATTAAGGGCCCTAGATGATTTGGAAATTCCATGCCTCTCATTATATGCCACAGTTTATGGTGTTGCTCACAGTCAAATGCCTTGTTATAATCTATGGAACAGGTATGAAGATATATCTATCTTGCATTCTCTACACTTCTCTAGGACGGTTTTCATGTTACAAATATGGTCTCTTCTTCCTCTGCCACGTCTAAATACCGCTTGTGTTTCTTTTAATTCATGTTCCAATTTCTTCTTAATCCTCCTCAGAATGATAAATCAGTTAACCTCCTCAGAATGATATGCAGAAGGATTTTGCTAGCGTGAGTAATTAGAGCTATAGTACGATAATTGTTACATAATTTGAATTTACCTTTCTTTTTGGAAGGGTAATATAGACTGCTCCTTTCCACGCTTTGGACCAGTCAGCACTGTGTTGGTTGGAGGCCTATGCTCCACTGGGAGCTAAAAAGGCAGAAGAAGAATTGCTGTGGTGTAAGAATTGTACTCTGTTCAGTAAGTGCGTTTTTTTTTCTGTTGAGTTAGGACATTTGCTTTCTATTAAAACTCACGTTCTTCTTCTTCTTCTACACGTCATCTTCTACCGCTGTGGGTGTCGAGGGAGATATAAGTTCCTGTTTCGTGCTTTTATGGCTGCTTCGATCATAGACACATCATGGTGCTGTAGAGTTTCTCTGATGTTATCTTCCCATAGGTTCTTGGTCTACCTCTTGCTGTACGCCCCTCACCTCTTCTGGTATATGCCTCGTATGGTATTACATCAGAAGGCGTCCTCACCAGGTGAGCAAACCATTTTTTTTGCTGTCTATCTCATTGTACTTGTTGTAGCTCGCAAACCATTTGTTTTGCTGTCTATCTCATTGTACTTGTTGTAGCTCACGTTCATGAAGAAAAATCCGGGTCAAAAATCGGCCTCCGCTGGCAAGTCTCCTGTGTCGTGTCAGTTTGCCTTCACCAACATCGTCTATAACTGTAACACGTGATACCATAAACCATCAAAGGTACAAGGATATCTTCTACTTTCACTGACTTCTCATGATGGCATGCAGGTGTCCCATCCCACAAAGATGAAGGCCAAGTCAATGTTTTACAGACGCATATATGTTCTCGATATTGTAACCCATCCCACAAAGATGAAAGCCAAGCCAATCTTTCACAGACTCATATATGTTCTCAATATTGTATTTCATAAGCCATCTGCAACGGTTTATGTTAGATTTTGTGTTCGGCGTCTGTGGCTTAGGCGTGCACTGTGTAATGCCGAAGTACCGGGTTCGATCCCAGCTAAAGTCTTTGTCAAAGTCGATCGTGGCGATTGAATTTTATTTATAAATGAATTTTATTTAACGTCTACATCATATCTCTGTTAAGGTCTACATCTTATCTCAGTTAACGTCTACAACATATCTCAGTTAACGTCTACAACATATCTCAGGTAACGTCTACTTCATATCTCAGGTAACGTCTACATCATATCTCAGGTAACGTCTACATCATATCTCAGGTAACGTCTACAACATATCTCAGGTAACGTCTACATCATATCTCAGGTAACGTCTACATCATATCTCAGTTAACGTCTACATCATATCTCAGGTAACGTCTACATCATATCTCAGGTAACGTCTACAACATATCTCAGTTAACGTCTACAACATATCTCAGGTAACGTCTACAACATATCTCAGGTAACGTCTACATCACATCTGAGTTAACGTCTACATCACATCTGAGTTAACGTCTACATCATATCTCAGTTAACGTATACATCATATCTCAGGTAACGTATACATCATATCTCAGTTAACGTCTACAACATATCTCAGTTAACGTATACATCATATCTCAGTTAACGTCTACAACATATCTCAGTTAACGTCTACATCATATCTCAGTTAACGTATACATCATATCTCAGGTAACGTATACATCATATCTCAGTTAACGTATACATCGCATCTCAACGTCTACATCATGATTGATTTAACTCAAGA